CAAGAGTTCCAAGGCCTGCGCAGTACGAATATTTAGGGGCTCCAAAAGAAGACGACGACGGCGATTACTAATTAATACGACTACTACTACTACTACTACTACTACTACTACTACTACAACTACTACGACGACGACGACGACGACGACGACGACTACGACTACTATTTCTATTTCTACTACCACGACGACAACTACTACGACTACGACGACGACGACGACGACGACGACTATTACTACTACTACTACTACTACTACTACTACTACTACTACTACTGCTACTACTGCGACTCCCGGCGACACTCCTGCCACTACTACTGCAAATGCTAGTCGCTCTCGTCCGTACCTATGACGGCCAAGGGGTTTGCATGCGCCCAGTTTGATAGGCCCGCGTGCAGAATCCTTTACGTATCACCGCACACATTTTCCAAACCCAAATCCCAACTTTCAACTGCCCCCAACACCTAGTCCCTGAACACCAAACGCTCAACTGCCCGAAACCCTCCACCCGAACCAACCTTGCAACTCTGACAGAACCTTAAGCAGGTGCTGCCGAAGGCGCCACCCAAAGCTGCAGTTGAGGCTGCCCGAAGTATTCTTGACACTACCCTTTGGGCATGTGTCGACAGCATTCTCGTGGTCTAGGGGGGTTTGGGTGCGCAAGGAGGAGTGGACTAAGCTTGAACGGTCATTCAGATGGGATTGCAGGGGTCGCACGGGTCATACATGCAACGGGAGCATGGGACTATCCTTGCGGTACTTGAACTTTGGAACGAAGAACAAAGGCAAGCTCCATTGCAGCAACAACCGGACTACCTAACTGCAACCACGTGCTCAACAAACAACAAGCTCAAACGCGACAACAGCAGCAGCACGGCGGCGATAGAACAAGCTTCGATGACAATGCACATGCAGTGTCACACTATGTCACACTTCTAGCAGTGGCATCAATACAGAAAACACAGGTTTGCAGCAGCAATTGAGTGCGACTCTGCAGGCTGCCGCGGTGCAGCCTCTCTCAAAGAAGGCAGCGGCCGCGCAGGCGAGGTTGCTGACGCGGTGTGCGCATCCTCCGTTAAGCGTGATCCGTTGTAAGCTCCAACACCCCATGTCACACTGGACAAGGATCATTCTGGTTTTCTGGTGATCATCTAGGCAGAAGCCTGGTTTCAGGGTTCTCGCCCTTCCAACACTAGCTTGATGTGCAAGTCGCCAGTCCATACACATTGGTACTGTAGCTGTTGCTGCCTTTCAAGCTTATCTTGCGACTGCGATTGTAGTCAGTATCTTGTTTAAGCAGAACGATTTAGATTTAGACATCGTCGGAAAACGGAACATGTCGGGACTAGAAAAGGCTGAACGACTGCTCCGCCGAGGCTCCGCCAAAGGCTCCAGCAGAGGCTGCGTCGGCGTCAACCGAGGCCTTTGGATTTCCGGGTTTCGGGTTTAGGGTGTACTCCAGGGCCCTGAATACTTATTAGGCTGTTTTGTCATCTTGGGGGTGGGGGGCGGGGGCGGCGGGAGATATGTTCTAGTTATGGTAAGTTATGGTGTAATTATGTATCAGGGATTCTAAGGTTAAGAGGAGTACCCGTGTTCTCAAATTCTCTTGTCCTTTTTCGAGCGGTTTGCTCCTTGTTCTTAAATCCTGTAGTCTTTGTCTTAAATTCTGTAATCCCAGTGTGCCGGTCTCTCTGTTACCGTCTGAGAAGCGCCTTGACTAAACGGAATGTTCCCAGGAGGGGGAGATATTTCAGGTTCCTGAGGATGGAGAGACAAGATTAGACAAGGACTGATCGGTGCGAGAAAACTGTCTTGGACATTTGTGCTGTTTTGGTAGCTGGTTAAAGAAAAAACTGTCCTGGGATAGTTGTGTGTCTGACTGTGTCTGTGGCCGGTCGGAGAAAACCGTCTTGGCAGCTTGTGCTTTTGGTAGCTGGTCAAAGAAAAGAGTCCGGAATTATTGTGTCCCCAGCGGTGTCTGTGGTCGGTCAGAGAAAACTGTCCTGAATAGTTAGTGTTCCATTATGTTGTGCATTTCATTCTCTACCTTCAATAGTCCCTGAACCACTCTACCGCGAATATTAGAATCCTCATAAACAAGGTATCCTGGTTTTCTGCAAAGTCTTACAGCCTCTTCTAGCAGGCTCCACAGAGGTTCGGTGCAGATGACTACGAGCGTGCAGCGGAGGCTGATGCTGTCAGGGGCCAAGCATTTGGGCAGTTCGCTTCCTGGGACGTATAGTCTCCATTGTAGTTCCTTTTTGTGGTTTAACCAGTTATATATTAAGGATTCTATAAGGTGTCCCCAAAACGGAACTGCAATGGAGACTGTAGGTATGCTTTGAGGACATCTATAAGGAGTCTAAGGCTTCTCTGGGGGATTTTCTTCAAACAATCTGTACTTCTGACACCTCTTCGAAGCCCTTTTGCGACAACTCCTTGCTATTGGGTCTTGACCTCCGATGTGGCCGCGAGTTCTGACATTATAGTGTGGCTCTTCTGAACAGATCGTCCCACAATACGTTGACGCATACACTGGCCTCGACCATCCGACCACCCCCCCAAAACCCATGACAATTGAACCGTCTGGGCGCCTTCTGCCGTGGATACGTTCCTAGCATTGGTAGATGGCAGCTCCTGAAAAGGGACACGGCTGCCTTCCTCTGAGCAGGTGGGGCCTGTGTTACTCTCCTGCCAAGGCAGCCAACGCTGCCATGATCGAGGTAGCAGAAACGGACCGCCGGGCAATGGGAACTTGGAGCCCTGAAGCCCTCTCGCCATACCTGTCTGAGCTACTTGGGGGCAGCAGCCATCCGACAGTTTCTGAGTTCAGGAGGATAGACTGAACCTTGACATCCCACCACTGGCCTTGGGAAAGTCGCTCGGCTGCAGGGCAATGTCCACCGGGTGAACAGTTCAGGATTTGAACACCACCCCTGGAGGCTCGACATGGTAGAAGTGGTATTGGGAATCTAAGGCTTCAGGAGTGCAAGATGAAACGGAAGAAGCGGAGCGACAAAAACCGTTTTGTGTCTCTCGAGTCTCAGATCTGACTAGCAATGGCGAATAGCTGCGTGGCGATGCAAGTGCCACATCTGTGAGTCTTATCCCGACTCGCTTGCTCCCAAATATCCCCCAAACCAGTGGATTCCTAAACCCCTAAACCAAAAGCCCCCAAGACCCTAAACCCTAAACCCTAAACCCTAAGCCCCCAAGACTTGTGAAGCGAAACAGCCTGCCTCAGGAAGGCGGTGAGAACGCTTCGTCTGGTGTCCAACCACTTCCACCTCTCAGTGAGATCCAGCGGTGATGCAACCGTCGGGGTCCGAGGCAGTAGTGGTTTAGGGTTTAAGGGTTAAGGGTTTAGGGTTTAGGGCCCAGCTGATAGCAAAGAGCCTGGGTTCAAAAACAAAGGGTTTTGGGTTTAGGACATGGTGCTCTAGGGCACACTTGCCTAGAGTTGAATGAGACAGAGAGCAGCTTCGCACGACCAGTCTCAGGTCTGGCGCTGCTGGCGAGTGGACTTTGTCAAGATGGACAAAGACAAGGATTTTGAAGCACATTTTTAGTCGAGCCGGGCTCTTTCCCTCGACGTTCTCAGGTCGAGCTGGGCCTGGGGTGGGATTCATTTTGAGCGCTGCGGGCTGTGGGGGCAGGACCCCAATGCAAAGAAGATGCCAAAGAAGAAAGGCGAGGATGAAAGGGAGGTGCCAAAGGTTGCGGTCTTAGATGCAGAGCATGCAATTTTTCCAGGATCGCATCCTCCTCCAAGGGGGAACAGGGAATTCTCAGCTTCATGGTCCGCCAAGGGGGTGCGGAAGCAGGCGGTGGAAGTGCTGCTGAAGGGCATTCCGCGTACAGATTGGCTACATGACGGTCTCTTGTCCTCATAGGAACTTGTCAGATGTTGGAGCTGTCAATGAATTCAGTCTTCTGTCTGGGCAGTTGCAGGGTCGACATTGAGAATCTGCAAGTTTCATCTAAACCCTAAACCCTAAACCCTAATCCCTAAACCTTGTTTTGTTCACTGGACGTGGCCGGCGATGTTTGGAAGTGGACCCTTGTCCGGCCATCTGGTGCTGGACAGCTGTCCTCCCAAGCCTGCTGCGACAACCACACTTAAGATCTTACCTATAGTCTCCATTATGGTTCCCTTCTTTGGTTTAACTAACCAATTATATATTAAGGGTTCTATAAGGTATTACCAAAAAGGACCTACAAGGGAGACTATAGGAAGCGCCTTAGTAGATCAGACTGAGACTCTGATGAAAACCAGCCCCCTAATTGCCCCCTAAATGCCCCTAAATACCAGGCTTAGATTCCTTAGGGTTCCCTATTAACTATACTGTAAAGGAGCCCAGAGCCCTATGCTAATTATTAAGGCCCCTCAAACCCCTCAAACCCCTAAACCCCTAAACCTTAAACCCCTTAAAAACGCCCCAAGGCAACAACTTGCTCTATACGCGAAAGACTGTGACAGCGCTTCAAGATCTCCGGCAAGAGGTCGAGGCCAGAGCCTGAAGGGTTTAGGGCTTAGGGGGTTTAGGGGTTTAGGGTTTAGGGGTTTAGGGTTTAGGGTTTAAGAGTGAACAAGCAGGAACAGCGCTTTGTGATTGTACAGTTTTACTAATTCTTTGCATTCTGGAAGTCAGTGTGCAGGCGATTGCACAAGTCCTGATGCAAAAAGGGTTTAAGAGACAGCTGTCCTGGCGTGATAAGAGGTCCCAAACTTATCATTGTTCGTAGCCCCCCCTCCCCCTTAAGGCCGTAGCTTGCGGGGTTGGGGGATATTTTGGTGGATTTGGGGGGTTTTTGGGAGGCGATTTGGGGTTTAGAGGTTTTTTTGGAGCGGCTTGCAGACATCAAAATCAGCCTTCCGAAGATGAAGCCATGCACTGACGACCATACTTCCGCCGCGCGTATCTCTAAAGCCGACACAAGACACGGAACCCCGACCCCCCCAAAAAAAAACCGACCCCGTAACCCTAAACCCTAAACCCCCTAAACCCTAAAGCCCCTAAACCCCCTGGCAGGTTCCTCCATCGAAACCTGGCGGAAGGCCTTTCCCGCTGACTTTGGAGGCGGTACCGATGTCCGAAGGTAAGGGGTTTAGGGCCTTTTCGGGCCTTTAAAGTAGGGCGTAGGGGTTTAGGGGTTTAGGGTCTGCGAAAAAAGATGCAAAAAGGGGCTTCGGGTCTTGGGGTTTAGGGTTTGGGGTTGGAGCTGAACTTCTGTGGGCTCGGACATTCAGGCGATTGCACAAGTCCTGATGCAAAAAGGGTTTGGGGTTGAGGGTTTATTGCAGGTTTACGGGTTCAGGGTCGCACTGGGAGAGTTTAGGGTGGGGGTAGTAGAGGGTCTAGGGTACTCGGGTTTAACATCGAGGGCTTTAGGGCCGTCTCGGAGGAGATGTTGGAAAAATTGAGCTCATCCTCATCATCGCCAGCACTACAGGCCAAGCCTCATATCAATCCCAGGCCTTCAAAAAACTACGAAAAACAAGTCTTAAAGCCTGTTATTCAACCTTTCCCTGGAAGCGAGGTGAGGTTCGAGGACCGTGAGATCGATCTTGCGTGGCTGCACGCACCGAAGGTCTACCGGGGCTTCAGGGATTAGGGTTGAAAGAGTATAGGCTACGCCTTGGAGGGTTCAGGGCTTGTCTGTGGAGTAGGTACCACAAAGTAGATGTGCCCTAGGCGGACAAAAGCCTGGATCCCGCGGAAGCTATGGCGTCGATGTCAGAACACCGACGCTTCGTGCAGGCACGGCGCTGCCCAGTTGTCTGTCTAGAGCGTGAGTTGGGCTCTTTCTAACTCTGGAGCCTAAATTTGGCGGGGTTTCCGAAAATAGGGGACCCTCATAGAGCAGCCTAGATAGTAGGATCCTTATTAGAAGGACCCGTAAATAAGGTACCCCCTATTTTCGGAAACTCCCATAAATAATTACCAAAACTACTGTTAGGCTGACTCTTAGGGTTCCTTATTATACGTATACTCTGAAGGAGCCCAACACCCTAGTTTAGGGTTTAGGGTTTAGGGTTTAGGGTTTAGGGTTTAGGGTTTAGGGTATTACAAAGGCCCCTACATTACTCCCGCCACGGATCCTGAAACCGCGGAGAGCCGAGAATGCCGAAAATAGGGGCCTTATAATAATTACCTATACTATTTTGGGGGTTCCTTTTTGTGACTATAGTATAATATACTATTGTGGCCTTAATAATTGCCTATACTATTTTGGGGGTTGCTTTTTGTGATTATGGTATACTATATTAGAGCCCCTATACTATTTCGGGGGTTCCTTCTTGTGACTATGGTATTAACATATTAGAGCTTGAATCTTCTGTGACAGGTGGCCATCCGAACACTCGCGCAAGAGAGGGAGGAACTTATTGCGCAAGGCCGCAAAGTCATTTGCGCCGACCGCCGTCTGGTCTGCGACGCCGTGCCCTTGAAATACGGCCGCCGCTCGCTAAAATTTTAAGGCCGAGCTTAGATCAGCAGCAATGCTAAGAATGATGGTCGAAGTTCTAGATTTTAGTCTCTGACGGAAGAGTGAAAAGAAGGGGGGCCAGTTCCTTGGCGCTCTGACAGATGACAGAGAGTCGGATTAACACAGCTCTAGGGGCAACCATCCTCTTGGGTTTTGCCACACGCCCGTCGGCTGTAAGAAACACCGAGGCGAGATGTGGTTCGGCTACATTGGCCAGGTGGAGATCGTGAATGGCGGGCCTGGGGTTGGTGGCCGACTCAACCCCGCACGCGCGACCTTGAGCAACATGGCAGCATTACAGCATCCTCCCAAATCCTTTGGACTTGGCCCAAAATCAGAAGATAGAGCAGCGATCAACAAGGCCAGAAGACGAAGAAGCGAGAAGCATGGTCGTAGCCGGGGAAGATAGCGACATGAGAGCTTGACAGGCTTCGATTCACTTCTTGCCTCAGGCTTGAACCTCGTGGCATCTGTGGGTCTTCCCGACATGTCGGTCATTGACCTGCTGGGGAAGCTGGGCGCGCCTCGCCTGAGTACACTTATCTTATCCCTGGTGCGAAGTTTGTTTTTTGGAAGCAGACAACGAAAGCTTCTCGTGAGGGAGCTTCGTTCATTACCTCACAGGGGTGAGGGGGGGCGGGGTGGCATGGGGTGGCCCGGATTGGTGGGTATCCCCCACCTGGAGCTGGACAAAACCACGCTGCCAAAGGTGCCTGTTTTGGGCCAGATTTCGGTCCTGTTGGGTAAGTGGCTGTTTAGACGTCCAAAGGAAAAACAGGCCTCCTCTCATGCTGCTGATGCTTCGCATGTCGCAACATGACTGTCTGTCTTTGTCCGGCAAGGAGTTCATATGTTGGATCAAAACCGCTCTACGTGACATTTTGGATCAAAGTTGCTCCCGCCAGTGTTGTTCTCTACATTTTTTGTCTGCTGCGATGCGGGCTTGCTCCTGCCGTCGTGTGAGCTCCGTGTCGCCAGCCCTGCCCATGCTAGAGCTTTCGTCCCAGCCCGTGGCTCTCAAGTACAGTTAAACCAGTCTGTCAGCAGAGCTTTCTTCTTTGCCAATTCGCCACTCAAAGCCGAAAGCTTGCAGCAGCTGAGGCCAAAAAGCCTGGAGAGTGGTGGAGTGAGGAGGAATGCAAAAAGCAGGAGCCTGAGCAAAGGGTCGACTCAGGCCAAGAAGTCCGCGGAACAAGGATTTTCCCCTCGGCCATCAAGGAGGGCGCAGCCGTCAAATACCTACTTTTGAGCCAACTTTTTGGCTCGGTAAACGTTGGGTGTAGTTACTTTCAGTCTCTTCTAGCTCACTCTCATCCAGGAGCAAGTACCCAATCAGTTGTGTATGTGTGTACTTGATTGTGCTTCATCTTGCAGGACAATGCTGTAGGCGCTGGCGGCAGCAGCGGCGGTGGCGGTTGTGGTGGTGGTGGTGGTGGTGGTGGTGGTGGTGCGGTGGCTGCGGTCGTCCAGGTTGTGGTTGTGGAGGTAGCGGCGCTGGTTGCCATGGTGGTGCTGGCGTTTGCGGTGGTGGTGATGCTGCTGCTGGTGCTGACGATGATATGATGACTTTGATGGGGATAATGATCCTGATGATGATCAGGGTCGCGTCGACGAACAGAATCATGAACAGGATGATGTTGATGCTGATGCTGCTGATGATGATGACGACGACGAAGCGGCGTATCATGATGCTCAGCTTCAGCAGCAGCAGCGGTAGCATCGGCGAAAAGCGCAATCGCACCATGTTGTGCTCGCTGCCAGGGATGTCGTCTGGAATTATTGGAACAGGCACGGGATGTGAGAGGAGAGCTGGATTAGTTACCGCGCAGGGCTATCGCTTTGCCGTACAAGACCTCAAGTATGCGCGCATACAGGCTACATAGAGGATCATGGGACTTAGTAAGTAGGTTTAATTAGGGTAACTATACTTATAACCCCAATTAAGGGACTTACAACCTTACTTACTAAGTCCCATGATCCTCCAAGTATATGTCATGGGCTAGCCCACTGCGCAGTCAAATGTTCATTGCTGGAATGTGCCCGCAGGCAGTACCAAACCTTGCGCGACTCACTTCATGGAGAGCTCGGCCTGCGAAGGCTGTCGCTGGCTTAGCAATGTGGGGGTTTCCGAAAATAGGGGAACCTGATATAGTACCCTAATTAATAGGATCCCTATTATAAGGACCCCCAAATAAGGTACCCTAATTTTCTGAAACTCCAATGTATGCGCTGAGGGCCCGTGGCTGTCTCAAGAGACACGCTAGGTCCGCTAGGTAGTGCTACCAGTTTCCCCATTGTGACAGTTTGTGGCTTGCAGTTAGGGCAATTGAAAGCACTTACTGTAACAGTCTCGGGGGCAGCTGGCTCGTTCAGGTTGGCGAGAGGTTTTGCAGAGATTTGCAGACTTTCGATTTGACATCTAAGGAGAGTCAGAGCGGAATACGGCGAGGCACGGCCTGCCTTTGGAAAGCTGCGCCCCACGTCTCACTCGCTCTGAGTGCAGGTGAAGGTCAAGGGCAAGTTGGTGTATGGGCTGACCGACAAGCCAGCGAAGAGTTATCAGTTCGAATGCGAAGAGATGGGTGGCAAGGTGGACGTCGCCGCCTATTTCAAGCATAAGCACGGCCTGACCCTGCAATATCCTGATCTTCCGTGTGTCCAGCTGGGAAACGCGCGAAACTGCATTCCCATGGAGTACATCCATGTCATGGGTGGCGCCTCGGCTGCAAGATTATGCTCAAGAGATCTGGGGATTTGGGCAGTCTGCTTTGAGGTGAGCACAATCTGGCAGTGGGAAAGCTGCGGCCGGAATTCCAGCAGGAGGCTCACGGGCTGTACTGGGTTCAAGCTTTCACCTTGGTGCAATCTTGCCGTGATGGCCGCAGTGTTAGAAGACTTTGCGGCGGCAGCCTCGAAATTTAGTACACAGCACATTTGTCGCCAATTGCCAGGTGACGCGCAGGACTGCCATGCCGCCCTCCCAGCGGCGAGACCAGATCATGCAAGCCCTGAACAACACACAGCTAGGCCGGGGCCACCCTAACATCGGCGAAATTTCCGCAGAAAATGATCGCGACCAGACTATGTTCAATGCTCAAAGCATATACTTCGCCTATCTTGTTCTTGAAGTCATCTTGAAGTTATGCTCGTCGAGCATCCTTGCGAGGCCCTTCTGCCGCCCTGAAGCCAAAGGGAGTCGCTTGGAGATGATACGTTGGGGCCCGGGGGCTGTGGGCTGTCGAGGGCCGGGACCGTTCCTCCTGTCCTTCCTGGCTTTCGGGACTCTTTTCAGCGTGGTAGGATGATATTGCCTGATAATGTTGGACATCATCCCCTTTTTGCTACGGGATCATCGTTTTTTGACTGAGATCGATGTGGCCTTCGAGATGCTCGCCGTTACCGGCCGGGTCTTGGAGACGCCAAAGCTGAAAGATGGTCGCCTGCTTGCAATGTTGGGGGTGCCTGACGTTTGGGTTTAGGGTTTAGGGAGGCAATGCCCCCCATTTTCGGGGCAGGTGCTGCGGCTACGGTCGGTGCGATCTTGCTCTCCTCGGAAGGCCAAAAACCGCCGTTGTCATGTGAAGCTGCACTGACTGAGACGTGCTTTCCTAGCTCACCTGACCTCGCCTGATCTCGCCTGCATTGTCCGAGTCGCCAGAGTCCAAAGGCCTATCGTATGTCATAATACTTTAAACTAACAAACCCTTTTTTTTGAAGGTTCTTATTATAAATCCCAATATGGAATTTATAGGGACCCTAGAAAAAAGTGGGTTTTGGTAGCTTAAGGTAGTGTTGAATTGAGTGTGTCCTTGTGGAAGAGATGAGTTCCTTTTGGGCTCGCTGCGTAGGTCCTTGGTGTTTATTTCAGGTTCAACCTCTGATCCCGAGACCTCTCTGTCCTAAGTAGTCCGAGCCGTAATTACCCTGCAATATAACGCAGTATATCAGCTTATTCATAGTATATCTTGGCATATGTCGGGATATATCACAGCATGTTAACCCTGAGTCCTAGAGTCCTATCCGAGGCTACGGCGCCGCCATGAGAGAGTCCACGAACTACTCCAACAACTTCAAGAGCCTCGCGCCCCCGAAGTTCCAAGACGCTCGGGCTTGGAAAGCTTTGGAGGTCGATGCCAGCCCCATAAATCCTGTAAACATAGGGTTTAGGGTTTAGGGGTTTAGGGGTTTAGGGTTTAGGGGTTTAGGGTTTAGGGTTTAGGGTTTAGGGTTTAGGGTTTAGGGTTTAGGGGTTTAGGGTTTAGGGCTCATGGGGCCTATGAACTTAGGGGCTGAGTAGGTAGCCTCTAACCTTTTGGGGCTTGAAAAAACCCCCTACTCAATTCAAAAGGTTTAGGGTTTAGGGTTTAGGTTTTAGGGACCCCCTACTAAATTCAAAAGGTTAACCTTTTTTGGGCTAGGGTACTCAGCCCCATAAATCCTGTCAACTCGCCCTCAGCCCTGAACTTTAGCTTGCCCAGAGACTCCAATATCCCTTAATTACGGAATATACTTCAAATTATATAGTAGGATCCCTAATATGATTTAAGGTGTAATATTCCTTAATTAAGGGATATTGGAGTCTCTGGGTTGCTTGATGGCACGACTGTCGCCGCAAGTTGCAACAAGAGACAGACACGTCACGAAACTGCTGGGAGCTGGGGCCGAGCTACACTCCAGTATGCCCTGTACCCGAAACCCTCATATTCATAAGATGTCAAGCGAATTCAGGTTTCGTGGGGCCTCTGGACCTTCACGACGGGTCACAGTCCCAGTGAGCGACGCGGCAGCAGTCTGACCACGTATCTGTGTCGCGGAAAGAGCATGGCAGCTGTGGTACTGTGCTGATGTAGGATGTATGGTCAGGTCAGAGCAACAGGAACAGCAATAGCAGGAGTGAAGACGTTTTGCCACAGAAGAACGATACTTCCAACTTCTAATTGGAGTATTGCGAATTGTTCTAAGCATGCAGAACTTGGCATGTCAAGTTCTGTGCGCCCGTGTCAGCCTTGCCAGTATCGGTAATCCACCCTGGACATGACTCGAATTAATCGCAGACGTCCCGATACAGGGCGTGCGCAGAGATTAGATTAGGTTCTGGTGTGGGCTCGTTTGTATCGAGAGTGGCATCAGAACGTGCTGCTATGCAAGCCAGCAAGGTGAGTAGCACCACCTGACGGCTGCACGAAGTGCCAAGTTAATCTACGCCAATAACAGCAGCAGCTCCTGCAGGAGTCACATCAAATGGTTCGCGGATCAGTTGACGAAGCGGTGCTACCAGAAGGGCCTGAACTTTTCAGACGCGAAGTTTGTGGAGTGGCCAGAGGAGGTTGGGTCGGTTGGGGCTGGGTTCTTGAAAGCTCTAAACCCTAAACCCTAAACAGTCGTCGTGTACCAGGAACCTCGCCTAGGCATGTCCGAGAGTGAGTGCTGAAACCCTAAACCCCAAACCCATTGAACGACTCTTCTGAAGCTGAGGCCTTCAACTCCTACTTCCGTTGCTCTTCGGCTTGCAGTTCTCGAACTTGTGCCGAGAATTCTCTTCATCTGAGATCCAGCCGCAGAGTGCAAGGCCACAAGAGCAGGGAGGCGTTCTCTCCGGACATGGGCAATGCGATCCGAAAAGATCTGAAGAGAGTGGCGGACGCCCACAAGGCGCAAAAAGCAGTGAGAAGAGTGGGGCAGTAGCCGCAGGAACCGGCAGAGTGAGACGCAGAGTGATGACGTGATATTGAAAGGACCTCAAGCTGCTGGTTATCCTGCTGGACAACAGTGAGGCCTGCTAACCCTGGGTTACACCACGGCCTGGAGTCCGCCGCTGGGTAGGGCAACTCACTAGGGGATTTCCTGGAATTTAAAGTTTGGTAGTCGTAGTCATGATGGTACCATGCTACTCTTTGTCTTGGAGGGTTAGGGCCGGGAAAGTTTCCGCTTTGAGGCAATTACAGACCACCTCTATAAGCTGGTCAAGCTTATCACAGAGACCGAGATGGGCACCTTCACCACACAGTTCGTCAATTGCAAGAAGGGCATTGAGGCCGGGAGTCAGCTTTAGAGTACACCTGCGATGCTTTTTGCTTGGGAGGACGCAGAGAAGAAGCTCAACAACCTCATGTTGAAGATCACCCCAAAACTCCCGGAAATGCCGACTGGCTGTCGGGCGGCTCACAACGTGGCACTCTCGGAGCCGCACCCGCTTCTCAGGAAGGAGGAGGCCTGCGGAAAGCACGGCGTGTCCACACTCAGCAGACTATTCCGAAGTTTGCGTTCTTGTGCGATGCTGCGCTGACTGTCGGTGTGTTGTCAGGCTACCATGATCATGGGTGCTGACGTGACCCACAAGGTTGCCGGTATCAGTGTGGCCGGAGTTGTGGGTTCCGTGGATTCAAGCTACGCACCTTGGCGCTCAGATGGAAGCGTGATGCGATCCATTCTGCAGATGCCGATTCTGTCAAACTGTGAAACTCGAGGCATCTTACTTCCACCAGATCCGCGGCCAATCGCCATACACGCTCAATACGCTCAAGCAAAGACATCGCCAAAGCGAAGAGCGTATCATTGACTTGACCAGACGCTTGGCGGGGTGAAGCGATGGATTGCTGTCTCTGCGCCCGACAGCTGAGGATGCGTGTTTGAGTGTGTCCGTGCCGCAAGGTATGACATGCAACATTCTGGAGAAGTGGAAAAGCATGAACAACAAGCTTCCAGAGACGATCATCTACTACCGCCAGAGCCCCACATTCCGAGTTTCTCGCGTACGCAGAAAGCCGTTTAGGGGGGCCTTCGGGTTTGTGACTTTGGCCGCGAAAGCCCAGACTCTCCCGATCCGGGCACGTGGAGGTTTGCCATTTGGAGCGCTTTGTCATTGGAGCCCCCAACTCGAATGAAACCCCAACCCCAAGCCCCAAGCTCACTTCCCCATGGTTGGATAATTAGAAAGGGGTTTTGGGGCCCATTCTACTATGCTTAGAATGAGGACCCCCCCAAAATAGTATTGGTAGTTCTTTAGGCCCCAATTATAAGTTCATTGCCCCCCAGGGTGCGAGAGTTGTTGCCCGAAAATGAAAAGCCTCGCGGCCCCGGCAAGGCGACGGCGTCTCTGACGGACAGTTCATCAACGTGCTGAAGCGGGAGCTTAACTTGCCACTGGGTGGTTTTACTGGCTTTTTAGCCCTCCGAAACCCGAAACCCCGAAAGCATTCCGTCTGGGTTTTCAGAGCCTCTCTCAGTATTTTTACCCTAAACCCTAAACCCTAAACCCTAAACCCTAAACCCCTAAACCCTAAACCCCTAAACCCCTAAACCCCTAAACCCTAAACCCTAAACCTTTCTCCGGCTTTTTAGGGAAGAGGAAGGCGGGAGCCGAGGCTGGATGATGCCTTCAAGAAGATCAGCACCACCTACGACCCGAAGCTGGTGATCATTGTGGGCCAGAAACCTTGCTGTATCTGGGTTTAGGGTTTAGGGTTTAGGGTTTAGGGTTTAGGGGTTGGGGCGTTCCCGACAGAGCTCATCCTAAACCCTAAACCCTAAACCCATTGACTGCTGTAGCCATCTTTCCTCAGGGAAGCTCTGAAGCTTCGGGCCTCTCGAGGGTGCCAGGGAGCGAGTGTCTAAGGAAGCGCCACCAGACGCGGCTCTGGATGCAGGATGGCGGCCTTCAAGAGGACAAGGGCAAGGGAAAAGGAAAGGACAAGGCCTGGGGGCTCTTCTGGCTGTCAAGGGCGATCAGCACCGCCCCTGAGTTTTGCACGAAGCCTTTCGTGGATGAGCTGTGTCTAGTCGCTAGTTGTGAGTCAGCGCGGAGCTCTCCGTGTTGCAGGTGGTTTTCAATCAGTAGTTAAAGGCCCGTGCTGGGCTTCATGTGTATACGGTCCGCACTGATAGGTTCTGGGCATTCTGGTGGGTAGCAGCAGCAGTAGTTGTAGCTTTTTATGCTTAGATGTAGCTTTTTCCTGCGTGCAGGCTTGCCTGGGAATCCGGAAGGGAGTGTGGGCACGTGAGCGAACTTTTAGTCATACCGTCTGTGACCTGAATACTCATCAACCGGCCGAGGTGAGTTACCGTCCGTTTAGTGCCATGACTGTTCTTCGGAACACCGTTTCTCATGTGCTTTCGATGCGAGCAATGCTGCAGGGGAAGGACGACAAAGGCAAAGGCAAGGGCAAAGGAAAGGACACTGCGCAGGCAGGTCGGGAAACTCAGAAAGCCAGGGCCCCTTTAACTAAGAATCCTGACGTTCGAGCTCCATCCTTTCGCGTTCTGGATGCTTGCACAGGCTATCTTAAAGCCCAGGAATGGGATTTGCCTGCAAAACTTGTCCAGGTTCCTCCTGGCACCGTGGCCAGCGAGGGCATAGCCCAGCCATCGCATTTGAACTTCTTCCTGGTCTCACAGCTAGGCCGGGCTCCTTCAACTGTAGTCGGTGGCAATGTCGCCCGGAAGTTATGTTTACATCCCCGAGTTGAGCGTAAGAAACCGTTTCATGTCAGGCTGAGAATTTGAAAACGCATGCGGCTGAGGTATTCAAGGCACGTCAGTGCCTTGCCACTACCACATCCTGCACATGGACAAGCGCCTCGTGAAGAAAGGAATCACTGTGGATGACTTTGCAGCTTGGCCATTTCAATTATTCTTCTCATTTGCCTGAAGATGCGCTCTGTTTTGAGGGTTCCGCTGTGGGAAACTCAGGAAACCATCACATTCCAGCTGTGCCACATGTACTCGCGAGCCGACAAATCCGTGGGCTATGCGACGCCGGCTTACATGGCCGACCATGTTTGCCACTGGGACTTCAGAAAAAAGAAACTGCAGGAGTGAGGTCAAGCAGTTCAGCTTCAAGCGTGACAGCCCAGGTGAGCGCGGCAAGCACTACCTCGAGGCCTCATGGCCGCTGTCACAGCTTCAGATCTACACTGTAGCTACCCGTAGTTCCCGGGATGGGGATTCAATGGGGATCCTTTTCACCCGTGGAGGCACCGAGGCTGTTGTCCAGCAAGGGGTGTCAACTACCAGAAACCCTAAACCCCTTAACCCCTAAACCCTAAACCCCTAAACCCCCACCCCTAAACCCTAAACCCTAAACCCCTAAACCCTAAACCCCTAAACCCCTAGACCCTAAACCCTAAACCCCTAAACACCCAAAGTCTCCACAGGCGAACTTCGGGTCCTCGGACGTGATGAGCACCCACGGTTCCTCCATGAGCGAGGCCGGCCCTGCACATGCCCCAGTCTTAAGCATGTCTAGGGGTTTAGGGCTTTAGGGTTTAAGGTTTAGGCTATTAGGGTTTAGGGAATGATGTGAATCATCAAGGTGAGGTTACTACTAGCGACAGGTTTTATTTCAAGTAAAGCACGGAAGGTCGTGGAGGGAGTCCAAAATAGTGCCCACGGCAGGAGAAGCAGGATGAGAACCTGCGAAAGCAGATTGAGGAAAGAACGAGCTGGCTGAACGATCGCGCAGCGCAGAGTGAGATGCTCAGCGTCAGAACGCTGCAAACACAGAGACACTCTTGTTGCATGCTCTTGCTTCATTTGTTCATGACCGTTACATTTCTGGGTGTTGTTGCGTATCAGTGCCTGTGACAGCACCACGAACCACCACCACCACCTCCACAGCTTCCACTCCCACGGCAAGTGCTCCGCCCCGGCGACCCGCCTTGCAGGTTCCCGCCTGAAGCTCAATGGGCTTCAGCTGTACTGCTGAGAAGAGGACTCCTACGCCAAACTGGGTTCTTGTTAAGGGATTTAATTTAAGTTACCATAATAGGGAAACCATATTATTTACTATAGATCCCTATTATGGTAACTTAAATTAAATCCCTTAACAAGAACCCAGTAAAGGGAGACCGGAGCCCTAAGCCTGAAGCCCCGAGATCTCACAAAACAAACCTGCAGC